GTAAATGATTTTTTTTTCTTTTTTTGGAGAGGTTTTTGCTATAGAGCGCGTGCGCTCGCCAGACAGAGAGAGACATAGAGACAGAAAGCGAGAAATCCCCCCCCCCAGGGGGGATGGTCACGCCGCAATCCCTTCATTCTTCTCTAGGGATCCTGGGCATGCACGCACATGCGCCCAGCGTGAGTTTTAAGCCACGGAACCACGGTCAACTACGTGGGAGTCCAGCGACATAGCCATTACGCTAACTGCTGGTTCCCAATGATGTTTTTCTTGGGATTAAATTAAATTTGAGGTTAAAGGAATGTATTAGTCCATTCGTGCAGCTATTCCAAAACATCTGGTATTTCATAAGGAATTACTATAAGAAATTTGTTTCTTATAGCTCTGGAGGCTAAGTCCAGGATCAAGCCAACAGCACTTGGTGAGGGAATTCTTGTTGAGTCTTCACATGTGGAAGGTGGAAGGGCAAAGTGCTGAATTTTCTCCCTGAAGTACTCTTATAAGTACATCTGATCTTATTCATGAGCAGTAGAGCCCTTCCTTATAACATTTTTTTTTTAATTATTTAATTTGACCAGAGAGGGACAGAGAGAGAGAGAGAGAGAAAGCTGCCAGGTCCAATGCCCAAACTGTGTTCTGCCATGTGAGAATCCAGTGCCCTTAACCACCATGCCACCTGTTAGACCTTATAACTTAATCACCTCCCAAAAAAACCCACCTCTCAATACCACCATCATGCACATGAAGCTTGACATGAACTTTGGAGGGGACACATGCAAAACATAGCAAGGAGGCTGTCCATTAACCAGAGAATGAACTCTGGGCCAGTTGGGCAGTATGGAGGAACCCCTGATAGTAAGGCGCTGGATTTAAGACCTTCGTATAAATGTATCAATAAAATGAACGTTAAAAACTATGTAATCTTAGGACAGAATTTGATTCTGATTCTAAGTACTAAAGCATTAACCACAGATAAGTATGTTTGCTTTGGCTGCAGTTCAGTAGTACTAATTACAGTAATTTTACATGAACTGCTTACCCTTTCTGGTCATAGGGCATTACTTATTTTCAAATAAATGCATCAAACTTTTAATTCTAAAACTAAACTTTTTTTTTTTTTTGAGAGGTTTTCGCTATAGGGCGTGTGCGCCGCCAGACAGACAGAGAGAGACATTGAGACAGAAAGCGAGAAATCATCCCCCCCCAGGGGGGATGGTCACGCCGCAATCCCTTCTCCTCCATTCTCCTCTCGGGATCTTCGGCACACACGCACACGCACCTGGCGTGAGTTTTAAGCCACCAGATCCGGGACGCGAACCGTGGTCGACTACGTGGGAGTCCAGTGACATAGCCATTACGCTAACTGCTGGTTCCCTAAAACTAAACTTTTGATATGCTAAACACATACAGCTTTCTTTCATTGCATTAGGATCCACTGGGTGTTCAGAAAAGTCATGACGTATTCTTCTGGTTTTCTATTCAAAGATGTGTCATGACTTTTCTGACAACTCAATAGTAGTAATGGTCCCATATAGTGAGTCAATTCTAATAGTTTATAAACAAAAGCTACTTTGAAGAAATAATCAAAAGGATTGAACCAATGCACAGTGTATTTTGGATGGAAAATTCATTGGTGTGTTGTGATGGTGTATAGTGAATTAATGTAGAAAATAAAAATTAAAAAAAAAAGAAAAAAAACTAAAAAAAAAGAGAAATAATCAAAGGGATGTTATTTGTGGAAGTTGGAGAGGAAAAGTTTTCTTTTGCTGAAGAGAAGCAAGTTGGAAATTCCTCCTTAAATTTGCTTTATTTGTTCTTTGTATTCTTGATTGTGGCCAACGGTTTAAAATTATTTTTGCTCTCCCATAAATAAAGTGCTGGTTTGTAGTATTTTTTATTAAAAATATTTTTCTCATATCATTTGCTCTCCCTCACTCTAAATGGAATATTCTGATATTTCTAAGGGTATTCAGTTAAAATAATTTTCCGATATAGGGCGCTGCGCCCCCAGACCAGACAGAGGAGACATTGAGACAGAAAGGCGAGAATCATCCCCCCCCAGGGGGGATGGTCACGCCGCAATCCCTTCTCCTCCATTCTCCTCTCGGGATCTTCGGCACACACGCACACGCACCTGGCGTGAGTTTTAAGCCACCAGATCCGGGACGCGAACCGTGGTCGACTACGTGGGAGTCCAGTGACATAGCCATTACGCTAACTGCTGGTTCCCTAAAACTAAACTTTTGATATGCTAAACACATACAGCTTTCTTTCATTGCATTAGGATCCACTGGGTGTTCAGAAAAGTCATGACGTATTCTTCTGGTTTTCTATTCAAAGATGTGTCATGACTTTTCTGACAACTCAATAGTAGTAATGGTCCCATATAGTGAGTCAATTCTAATAGTTTATAAACAAAAGCTACTTTGAAGAAATAATCAAAAGGATTGAACCAATGCACAGTGTATTTTGGATGGAAAATTCATTGGTGTGTTGTGATGGTGTATAGTGAATTAATGTAGAAAATAAAAATTAAAAAAAAAAGAAAAAAAACTAAAAAAAAAGAGAAATAATCAAAGGGATGTTATTTGTGGAAGTTGGAGAGGAAAAGTTTTCTTTTGCTGAAGAGAAGCAAGTTGGAAATTCCTCCTTAAATTTGCTTTATTTGTTCTTTGTATTCTTGATTGTGGCCAACGGTTTAAAATTATTTTTGCTCTCCCATAAATAAAGTGCTGGTTTGTAGTATTTTTTATTAAAAATATTTTTCTCATATCATTTGCTCTCCCTCACTCTAAATGGAATATTCTGATATTTCTAAGGGTATTCAGTTAAAATAATTTTCCACACTATCAGCTTCACATTCTGTAGATCATCTAGCTTAGTTCATCCTTTTTGACCCATTTTCTTTTCTTTTAATAAAAACAATCCCACAGCATTTATTGCCAACTAATGGTAACATAAGGGTTATCAAAATAGTATGAATAAATTTTTAGAACTATACACTCCACAAAGGAACAAACTACTGTCTTTTCAGCAAGTTCTCACTTTATCGTTTCTAGTTGGAGACACTGAGCAGAGTAATATTATCTCCTTTTAATGTGATCTGACCCAGCTGTTCTCTTGACTTTTAGAATGAATCTCCCCTGCATCATCTAATACAAGGTTCATATACTCATCAAAACCAATGATACAACCTTCTAGCCTCATATTTACTTGCTCATAGAGCTACACTTGAATCCAGAATCTATTCTGCAAGCATCTGCACTTTCTGGCCGGGGCCTCAGTACAAAGACTGCACCAAGCTGCATGTCGCCTCTGAAAGCAATTTCCAGAATTCTTAACCCATTTTCTATTCACTGTTTGGTCAGCAGGGGAAAGTGCCCTCTTTCTACTAACTGGCACAAAAAACAACCTGTATTCCTTAAACCCTTTCCATCTGAAGTCAAAGATATACCCAATTTCCATTACACATTAGTAATACGAGCTACGCCTAAATAAGTGATTATTTTTTTCAGTCTGAAAAGCTCAATAGTTAAGAGACAGTCTGGGAGACTTGCCTATACATGAAAGGTAGAAAAGATAATTTATTCATAGGTTCAAGGTAGACAAGATTGTAACAAACATCTTAATCCTCACAACAACCCTGTGAGGTAGGTAAGTCATTGTTTTGTGATAACTAGCTTATTCCAAATAAAGTGCAATTCGTAAAAGAATAAATCCCAAGATCCCAAGAGGAGAACGGAGGAAAAGGGATTGTGGCGTGGCCTTTCTCCCTGGGGGTGATATCTCGCTTTCTGTCTCTTTTTGGCAAGTGCATATACCCTTTGGAGAGGCAAAAACTCTCCAAAAAAAAAAAAAGGAATTTTCATATTATTCAAGGTGAGGATTTTCAGCAATGTTTCACTCATTTATCCATTCTCTTGAAGTTATCTTTACATGGCACTAAGCTAATATAAGATTAAATTCACTGAATGAAATGTTAGCCATTGGGTAGATGGCAGTGAACTGTGTGGTCATGTAGAAGTCTCCAACTATATTGCACTTAATCTCAATCTGAAACTCAAAGCAGACTATTAAAATATAAACACTAAAACGAACAGTGCAAAATTTTAACGAGTATATTTCCTTGAGAATCTGTCTTTATATTCAAAGATATCCATCCATAGGTATCACCTACTACAACTGCAAAGGAAAGGGTGATCTTAGTGTCTTTATAAAGAGGTATGAAAGTCTGATAATTCTGATTTGTGTAACAAGTCAAAGCCTCATACTGTAAGTTATTATTTACAAGGGAGCCTGCAGGTGTTACTCTAAAAATCCATGTATTTTCCCCTCTGTGCCAATATAAAACATATGTAGGAAAAGAAATATTTCCAGTTATCTATTTTCCTTTCAGTAATATATTTAAAGAATATTTCTGTTAGTCCAACACTAGTGAACATCCAGTTTTCTGGTATTTTTATGGTTGTCCTATCTGCAAAATAAATTTTTATCAGAGAATTCTCATTAAATTATGAGAACTATTAAGGATAATTATATAATTTACTTGTAACAGCAACTTGAAGCTTGGAAGCTTAGTTAATACTTAAAATCCACTAGCAAGTTTATAATATTTCAGAGCAAGTTGCAAAAGTAATTTGTCATTATAAGGAATAGTGAAAGCCCTGAAAAAATTCTCATATGAACAGTTTTTAAATTTGCTGAAGAGAAATTAGGCAATTCAATGGGTAAAATTAACTAAGCCATCCATAAGTTGTACATTCAAATTGATCCTAGATCCAAGAGTGCACTTTGGATTTTAGTGAGGTAGGGTAAAGAACTATAGTCAGATACATTTTGAACTATTATACTTAAAATAAACTAGACTACTGACTTTTACCTAGGTTTTATTTGGATATACAAAAATAAAAATTTAGAATTCAAATGAAAAAGTATTTTCTTGGATTCAAATATAGAACTTTAAATATATCTGAGGTACATAGAAATGAAAAAATACAACATCCAAGAGATATATTTTATTTCAACATAAAATATGCTTGTACAAAAATAACCCAGGAAATATAAAAAAGGCATACAAACATTTTTTTGCATAGATCCTCTATATAAAACATTAACCCGGGATAAACACTGAAAAATATATTTCTGAAACTAGTATAGTTGAACTATTTCCTTGGATACCAAGTACACACAAAATAAAAGCCCTTCAGCTGGGGGAACATGGGGCAGGAGGGAAAACAGTTTAATTTAGCATCAGTCTATATTTATTTCTCTGTTGCTCGAATATAAACCAATGATGACAAGAGGAGAAACTCTGGGGGTTTATTTAACAAAATTAAATTCACATTTCTGAGGCCATCATAGTGCATCCAATGTCCATCAATCTGGAAAGCTGCAGAATAATGATGTTCCTCTTTGTTAAATAATGTGGCACCTTCCAACAAATACCTACAAATTAAATGACAAGTGTAATGAAAATTATAACACTTTGTTTTTAAGATACACATTTCTTTTTTTTTATAACTATTTATTTATTCATTCATTTATTTTTTAATTTGACCAAAGAGAGACAGAGGGTGAGAGTGAGAGAGAGAGAGAAAGTGAGAAAGCAAGCCACCAGATTCAGGACTTGAACCCTGGTCAGCCATGTGGGAGGGTCCAGCGCCTTAACCACCACGCCACCTACTGGTCCCAAGATACACATTTCTTAAAGCACAGAATTTATTTATGAGATAAATATTTAGGATAGTTCTATAATTTGTATGCAATACTTAAAGGAATAAAAAAATTGAGATTGTTTGCATTCTGCTCCCTGAAAAAGATATCTGTATATATTATCTGCCACAATTGGAAATTTAAGTAAAATGTTTACAAAAACAGATAACATGTTAGAATTTTTAACGAACACATATTAACAAATGAACTTACAATCTGTATGGTTCTATTAAAGAAAATACAGGGACTGGCTGGTGGCTGGTGTTGTACTCCCATATGGTGGACTGTGGTTCGAGTCCCAGACTTTCTCTCTCTGGTCGAAATTGAATAATAATAATAATAAATAAAAATAAGTAATTCTTTAAAAATATTTAAAAAAGAAAATACACATAAAAAAGTATTTAAAAAATTATTTATTTAGGGGCTGGCAGGTGGTATGGTGGTTAAAAGTGCTGGATTCCCACATGGCTGACTGCACTTCAAGTCCTAGACCTGGCGGCTTGCATTCTTGATTTTCCTTTCTCTTTCTCTGTCTCTCTCTGATGAAATTAAAAAATAAAAATAAAACAAATGGAATTAAAATAAATAAATAAATAAATTTTTAAATTATTTATTTATTATTAATTTTTAAATATGCTATAGGGCATGTGTATTCACCAGAGAGAGAGACAGACAGAGAGAGCAAGAGGAAAATCAAAACCCTAGGTTCTGAACTCCAACTGCAGTCGGCCATGGGAGTTCAGCACCTTATTCACACCACTCCTGGCCCCTGACACAAAAAGCTTTTAGGGAACCAGCAGTTAGCGTAATGGCTATGTCGCTGGACTCCCACGTAGTCGACCACGGTTCGCATCCCGGACCCGGTGGCTTAAAACTCATGCCAGGCGCGTGTGCGTGCATGCCCAAGATCCCGAGAGGAGAATGGAGGAGAAGGGATTGCGGCGTGACCATCCCCCCTGGGGGGTGATTTCTCACTTTCTGTCTCTCTGTCTCTGTCTGTCTGGTGAGCGCACGTGCCCTATAGCGAAAAAACCTGTCCAAAACAAAAAAAAACTTTTAAAGGTAGAAAGTTAAAAGAATCCTGTGTTTCTTGATTTGTATGCAAATGTTTTTATTTATAAAGATGACAAGTAACATTTTATGTTTAAATAATGACCTCCTGTAAACTACTATATATTACTTTGACTTAAAATACAAGTAACAGCCAGTTCTTTGTCAGTAAACTGTTTACTACGTGTCAGTCACTATCATAAAGACTTATAATGTGCTATTTTATTAAATCTTCATAATAATAGCACTAGGTAGACAGTGTAATCTATTTTACAGATAAGAAAACTGATATGTAAATTGGCTAAAGTTATTGGCTCAAGGTTATACAGCTTGTAAAAGATGAGACTACAACTAGAAGCCAATTCTGTCTGTCCCATAGTCCAAATGCCTAAACACTGTGCACACTACTAGTGGCTGACTCCCTGTAGTAGATTCTGATCCAATTCAGAATACATTCATTTACAGACAGCTATAATTTTTTCAATGACCTCCTCTTAAGGGCTAGTACAAGTTATTATAGAATGAGCTTAAAAATATTATTTACTAGTTTTATAAAACAAGAAAAACTTACTTGTGATCTGATAAATCCAAGTAATAGGGTACATATGCCAGATCTTCAGATTTCCAATGCTGCATATTTAAGACTACAAATGGGGGTGCCCCATGGCAGAAAACTCGTTGGGAAAATTCTCTTAAGCCACCACACCTAAAATGAAAAATAGGCATGAACAATTATTACACTTGGGACAAAGCTACCTTTCAACACTTTGGGGTTGTCTTTATCGCTTTAATTTTCTAATAAGTATCATGGTCTATTTTAGGTATAGATAGTGGGGTTATATTATTACCTTATGTATTTATTCTCAGAAGTTTATAAGCTGTGTTCTCTATACTAGAAGTGACACTTTTTAAAACTTCAGGAAAAGCTATTCTATATAAGCTTATAAAAGTGTAAGTCTTTTTGACTTATATAAAATCTTTTATTTGTAAATACATTTTTCTCTAAGGTAGTTTTTAAATAATAGCAAAAGTGAATAACATGAGTCTAATTGTTTCCTTTTGCCATTATACCTTTCTCTTAACATGAAACAAATTATATTTCCTTAGTATTATCAAGTATTAAGCATATGGATCAGAATACAACAAATACAATTATACAGTAAAATCTCGATTAACCGGAATGCTCAGGGCACAATATTCTTGTTAATAACATTATTGACTAAACTAAGTTAATCAGAAAACTGTTTTAGTATTTGTTGCTAAAATATACTAGTTGGCTTTCTGGACTTCCTGAGTATAAGTAACAGAACGTATTTTTATCTTCTTTTGTGATAGTCAGCTATAAAATCATCCTTCTAAATATAATGTAGACAGAAATTGTTAAGAGATTGGGATGAATATGTTCTGTTCTCTGGACTTTTGTTTTCCTACTATGTTAAATTTTTTGGTTGTCATTTACCTCTTTTTCCTAAATGAGGAGTGCAGAAAAAAATCCAGTTAACTGAGGGTCCCGATTAGCTGGGTTCCGGTTAACCAAGGTTTTATTGTACCTACTAAGCAGAGGGGGAAAAAAGAAAAGGCATTTGCTTTGTATTCATTAATTGGCAAATAGTATTATATTCTATAGTGATACTTGAAAATGAAAACACAGCATAAGATGGCACAGTAAACTGGTTTAGTAAGATTTTTAAAATAATAGGTTTCCTAAGCACTTATGATGTGCTAATTCATAAAGTATTTATAAAGTATTAACTTTAAAGAGTATATGAGCCCAGTATTCTTTTTCAAGAACACAGAAATGCGTTCATCCATAATGTCTATCATACTCACCCAAGCTCTTCACACAGTTCAATCCTGGAACAGAACAATTCATCCACAGCAAGTCGTATCAAGTTCCCATGTGGAATTTCTTGGGGAGGACTACGATAATTGTAAAATGCATGTAAGAACTGCTTCAACATTTTACAGGTTAATACATTATTAGGATAACAAACTTTACAAGTCAATTCATCATTAACAAAACCAAATATACCAAGTAAAACCTCTGTTTTCTTTGCATTTCTTGCAGGTGGTATAGAGACCAGTTGAAGTCAATAAACATTAGTATATGAAGTTTTCCAAGAAATCTTAAATTTTTTGGTAAACAGATCCTGGAATATGCATTTATTGGTACCTTAATTTTAACAATTTGTGAGAGGATTCAATAGCGGTAATATGGTCTGGTGGAAAGAAACTAGGGCTCAGAATCAGGAAAGCAGCTGATGGAAGTCATGACCATTCTTGGCCTCAATTACCTGAGCTGTTAAAAAAATTTCCCTAC